GATGAAAAGCAAATCATATTGAATCGTGGGAATCGACCAATATTCGTCTTGTATAAAAGAGCACCACCGAGTGAAGTTCCACATTCGAGCAGTGCTCCTACTCCATCGGATTCGACTTGATGTGATAAAGAACACCCACATCGCGATAACGACCAGCTGTTGACCATCGACCTGGATCAATGCGGTTCTGACGAAAACGAAGACGCAGAAACTGCACTCGAAGAAGTGTTTTTATACCAACCTCCTGTCAGCTTACTCATATAGAAAATTATTGACTATTCTCTCCGAGTTTTAAAGAAAGTCGGTTTTTAAGATATTATTCTTGAATGTCTGCTTGCCCATCGACATCCTTGTTTCCTTAAAAATGGTCGGTAAAGCTCAAAAATACTCGAAAACAATGGAACCGCCGTCAAATCGTAGCAAGAGGTAGAGTATATTCCAGTGCAAGGACTATATACGAAGAAAAATAGACTGCAATCCATGAGCTCGATCATTGAAACCACTCGTTATATCTATCTTTGCGAGCAATGAACATAGAGAATGATCCTAGGAGCTCAGTAAGGCAAAGAACTGAACGTCTTAGTTACCTTCGTACTTTTCACAGTCATTAACTTGTTGGTGAATGAAAACTCAGTAAGGGAGACGAATGAACGTGCTACTCGCCTTCGTCTCTCTTAAAAAAGCTATCAACTGGTTGGTGGATGACGATACTGAAGGTTCTGTTTGACTAAATAATCCCTCCAGATCATTTGATGCTGATACGTCAGGATCAGAAACGTATCACCCACTAAAACGTTTCATGAAGATAGGTTATAAGTGGATTTATGGACCTAGGTTTTCCGGCCACACGTAGTACTTTCGCCATTGGAATCTTTAAAAGAGAACTAGTAAAAGTCGAGTCGTATACTTCGTAAAAATAAAACACGGATTACAATACGTCGGTAACAAGTTTCTTCTTCTTTCAAAAAAAAGTTAATTTTATATCCTATGTATTTACAGAATCACTAAAATGATAGTCCCTTTGAGGGGCGAAGACAGATTTTCACGAACGATTATAACCAAGGAAATAAGGAAGTAACGGTTTGTTAGGGTATACCTCCACATCTGCCCATCCACTGAGCACGAATGATTTAGCCATTTCGGCATCAGTGTCGAATCCACCATGTCCAGTGTTAATCGACTCCGTCTCTGACACTGACTCATGCTTGGTGTAAGGAATTTTCTTTCCAACTACTTTCAAGTCCTGTATATAAAAATATGTTGAGTAGTATATAAGCTCCAATGGGAGCGACTACAAAAATATATGAAAGTATATGGGTCCGCAGAGGTACCACCTTGCGTTCAGAACTACTAGGAGATTCTTCACTTTCTGATAAGTCATCGCATGCAGCCAGTTGAAAGTAATCAACTATAGAGGATGACATGATGGAGGACGTGCTGAAAGAATGCATAAGTATATAAAACGGAAAAAAAGGAAGAGTATTTTATAAAATCCTATGTACCTAATAGGAGGCAGGATAAATCCTGGATCCTCTTCCACAGGACTCACACTACCATCATTTGAATGAGAAGTTGAGCCACCAAGTTCGATGAGTGAGCCTGCAACTAATGTTAATCACTATTGGATCTTTAAAAAATCGAAATCTGACGCAAAGTTCATACCAACTGCTAGTGATGAGTCCGAAGTTAGGTGACCATTCCTTGATCTGAAGTATCGATTTAGGCCAAAAGATGCGGATGACAACGAAGATCTACATGACGAGAAACGAGTAAAAGGCTGAAATAAGGCGAATTACGAAATTTCCACTAATAGAAAAGTAACTAAGGTAAATACCGCCCACTATGCTGCTTGTTTTTGTGAGTTACTGCGACAGTTATCTTTGTTGTCATCTTCACAGCAGTCAAAGCATGCAACAATACTTTAACAAATACAACCCGTCTCTTTGACTTTACATTTCTTCAAAATTCATATTCTTAATAAATTCAAAAAAGAAATTTAAATTTGAGCAATTTTTAAAATAAGATTCGAAACTGTTAACAACACCTATGCTAAGGGGAACACCATCATGTCTAGCACTGAACGAAAACCCATTTGTCCGATTACTTCCACCTTGTCAAATTAAAAACAACACCTTTCGTGGGCAAAACAAAACCAGCATCTCATGTGTTAGGATAAAAAGAAATCCAATTGGATCCGCTTTTTCAAACATTCCTTCCATTCCTTTTGTCAGTCTTCCCAAGCCTTTCTTCTAAAAACCGTTTTCTTGACTAAACGATCTAGCCAAAGCATCAGTTGAATGCAGCTCATATTAGGGTGTATGTGTTGATGAAATTGTCTTAAACTTGTACTCGTTTGGATCTGACAAAAAGTATTACTGCTTTTTCAGTGATTAAATATTCTACAACACCTCATCTGGTATAGGCATGACGGGATAAAGGATAAAAGATAAAACTCTCGGCGTTGATCAATCCCTGAAGGATGCGCCATGCATTCGACTTCATTAAGCATCTTTCGAGGTGATTCAATGCATGTGGCCTTTACAATGACTTGCGGTGGCCTACTGATGTATCGAGCCAGTGCTGGCATCCCCCCAGACAAGTCTGGTGCCAATTTGCTGACCCCGGAGGGATGGATGGCTTGGTGGGCCATGGGCGCGGAGATCGATTCCACGTGTCTGTCGCAGTGGCGTCTCCAACCACTGCGGCACAAGCGCCCTATAGGCATGACGGGAAGCCTATAAATGTTGCAACAAAATACTACTTTGGAAGTCATGTTCGACTCTCAAAAAACAACATAATGTAGCAATTTCCATGTTGTTTCATAGGTTATAGGGAGGTTGTTATTAGACTCAGTTATTCCTTGAAGCGTCCATGAAACTGCCTTCTGAGTAACCAGATAGGATCCAGTGAAATTTGGCATATTCGTTTCAAACAACATAACACGCCAACAGAAAAAATCCAGTCCTATTTTTCAAATACTAAATTAATGAGCAGCTACCTGGCCCTCAACCAACGGTATGCTAGTGGAGAAAAAGTTATACTTACTTCATATAAAAAAGCAATACTGAGATTCATAACAAGTTTACGCGCAAGCGATTTGTTTGTTATTGTATTGTACATCGAAGGACGTGGACAGATTAGACTTGAACGTTCTACGACATAAAGGACGAGGACGAGTCCAGCGGATTATTCTACTCCAGGTAATTTCGTATTAGTAAATAAGTAGAGCAGCTATGTACGCAGTCAAAAGGCAAATTTATCCATCACTGATTGATCGAAGAAGTGTTTGGGCTACCAAGCACTTACTCAGAAGCCTTAACCACCTCGGAACTTCGACAATATCCAATCTTGCTGGTGTATTTCCACAGGAAGTTACCCACAACTACATACCGTATGCATATTTCGCTCTTCATCGCTGTCTCCGCGGAAAGGGAACGGGCTCGGATGGACACCATCATAACGCCATTTCCACGCAGAGCAAGCACGTGCTCGTTTCTCTACTAATTTTGCTCCTTCTTGCAGATACAACTCAACAGTTTCCTCAGAACAAATCTGCAATGAAAAACTACATACATGATACATGACCATTTAAGAAAGTACTTTTCAAAATTCAACAGTCTCATATCGGTCTAGTTATTTTGCTCTTGAAATTCATCTACACATAGGGTGAAAAGCAGTACAATTCTATGAATGGGTGATAGTATTTCACGTCGTTACAGACCTTTATGGCACATATTCGCTAGGTGAGCAGCTCTACCGTGATAATATAAACATATGCTGATGGAACGACAGCAAGAAAATTTTGCGTAAAATACCTCAGGAAAACTCAGCATGCATTCGGGTACACACTGAAGAAGTCTTTCCGCTGATGCCACGGCATGTGCTGAGTCTCTTACTTTGTTCAGCTGTGCACGTGTTATATGGTGCATTGGTAGTAGATGTCGTAGAATAAGAACTAGAAAAAAACACGACGAACGGCTGTGGAAAAAGTATAAAGGAAAACTATCAAACATTTAAATGAGAAGAGGACAAAGTGTGAGCAAAACTTGGCAAGCAATCAACTCATAATAACAAAGATTTCAATAAAATGAAAAAATCACCTAGCATGAGATCTTCGCAACTAATTTGTAGCAGAGAATCAAGAAGAGACAGGGAAACGACACCTAGCTGAAAAATCAAATTCTCTTCCTGCATGTTTCTTTACAAAGACAAAGGTTTCCCCACATCAGGAACGAATTCACGATCACATTTTCCTTTTATGCCAATTCTTGGGTAATTTGTTAGTTTACGTCTATTTATGACCTATTCGTCCTCTCCACCTATGTCTACTTCGTCTTGTATGAATCAGCTCGCCACCAATTATGCCAAGCTCCTGTACTTTGTTCTCTGAAGTACGTCAGTAGATTGACTATGTGTGCTTTCATGGCCACGATGGATTTCGCTACGTCGCAGTCTCACTTTCACAGTTGGTGATTAAATAATAAGCACAGAAGAGGAAAAACACTTGTGACGAATCGAATGCACTAACTGCCAAACGATATGCGCAAGTTCTGCAGTCTGATGAACAAGTAATAAAATACGGAAGTCGAAAACAAAATGATAGACGCTAGGTTCGAACGGAAGTGAATGCGATTGCGGATAGTAAATAACATTCTTTTACATTTAACATTTCATATGACCCGTTATCACATCTATTGCGAGAATCACAGCATTTCTTGCATTCAACTCATCTTCTTCGCCGCATTCATCTTCCACAACGGTCCTCGAACGTTTCGCACGTTGCTTCGGCTACTGTTTGAGGATTCTATACTCTTTTTGAAGTTCATATAATGCTGATCGAGTCAAATCTCCATGTAGTCTTGAAGATACCCGAGCTAAGGCGTCCTCAAGTGTAATAGAGAAGAGGGTTGGGAAAGACCGAACTAGTACCTTTGTTTCCTGGTGGACTGAATCACCAACCACTCTGCTATCTCCTCGCCACCATAAAACCTTCGAATATCCTAATGATTTATTCCTCCTGAAGTTGGATTAGCTAAGAATACGTTTACCTTGTCTCCACTTGATATCCGGCCGACAATCACCTCGATAAGCAATTGATTCTCATCGTCTACTTCAAGGAGTAACATTCGAATAAGTGTACGAATTAAAGATGCTTCTGTAACAGTTTCAACACAAAGTTGTAGATATACGGTGGCAGCAGCAACTCCTTCTTGTTCCTCCTGAAAGCTCATCTAAGCCGTCGATAAAAGAGAAAAGATAACAGTCAGTGAAGTAAAATAGTGACTCACTTGAAGTAGCGTTGGTTTCACAACAGAAATCAAAAATCCAGAATAAAAGAAGTTGCAGATTTCTTCAACAACGGCTGGATGAGCTGCCTAGACATCAATATGCAAAAAGATATGTGGAAATAATTTGAAAAGAAAAAAAAAAACTTCTTACTTGAACCACAGCATTACAAAAGAGCAACGAGGAATGAAAGTTGGTAAGAGAATCTGCGGCGTGCTCAGCAACAATATTTTCCGTACCATCACCGGTAAAAATACGACCTAACTGAGAGAAGCATCCAGACAACCCCGTCGCAACTACCGGACAAAAAGCACTCTTAATGGTCCATGATTATCGCTTAGCATGGAGATCGTCAATTCTAACTCTAGGAATACAAACCTTGTAAGCGACAAAATTAGCGATTTTTTCATGGCTTGTGGATACAGATAGGATAAGAAGAAGAGCATCGCGGGCTAATTGTCCAACGTCGTTCTATAAGGAAAATCGAAAGATGAACACATAGGAATAGAAATTTGGAAGAAACATATTCATTGAAAAGTAAACACATATGCAGTGCTCAAGAAGTCACGCCTGCTATAAACGCTGTCCAATCCATTTTCCGAACTCCTTCGGGGTCAATCAGTTGAAAAGAGTATTGCGGGCGAGGAAAATTGACGCCAAAGTGCTCAATTTGCCCAGCTTCAACCAGTCATACTACTGTCCAGATTCATTTATTCTACATCGGCAACTGTTTACATAGAACGTATATGCACCTATGAAACACCTTATATTCCTAGGACAACCTAGCCCGGAAAGTTTTTCGAGAAATCAGAGCCCTTTTTAAAAAGGCCAGCCATCTTTATTCACATTTTTTGTAACTTTAGACCTACAAAGAGAGAGCATTCAAAGGAGAGCTAAGAACACTCTTAATTCTTCACAGCGAGAGCATATCATATTGCTTAACCGATAAGAACTATTTTCGTCACCACGTACATTTGATAGTTTTGTTGCCAGTGTCAGATAATATACATTAACTACACAGAGATCATTAAAGCAGCCAGAGACCAATCGATCTCCATCCAAACACATGCCCAACAGCCACAAAACCTCACGCGCCAGAGCGACCCAGTGGGCTCCGCTCTTTCAATGAATAAGAAAAGCATCATTATCATTGTATGATGTCCGTTTTTACCAGTGCTTTTCATGGGTTGGTCTCGGATGGCTCAACGGTTGCAGAGGGTTAATCATAGCAAGAATTGCGGAATGGAAACGTTAGTGATTTCAATCAGGACAGGCGTACAAGAGAGCTTCCATTATTATTCCCTTGTGCAGCTATCAGTTCAATTGAGTAATCATTTCTTGGTTCGATATTGATAAAACTACGCTGTGCTCAAGAACAATGTTGCTCACTACTTTATGTCTCGGTGGTTCAAAGGAGTGGAATCTATTCACGTCTTCGCAACATCGATATGGACAGAAACGCCATCAAAAGTTGAGATAAGTTCTAAAAAGTGGCCTTAATGTGAACTCAAATGTTACCACTGTGAACTGATCATGAGCCACACACACACAAAATGAAGACTATCTAAGGAGAAAAAAGCTCGCTGCAAAAATATTTAGTCAGCATTAATCCTTCACCAGTATAGTGCCTTTGCAAGGTAAGCCGCGTATGTTTGCGAATCAATGGTACTTCACTTTCAAAGACATCACATCTTACACAGAACCTTGTTAATAGATATAGTCAAGCATAGCCATAAAACTCAGTCCCTTCCACGATGAGACATGCTACCATACGAAATGAGACCAGATTCCACAAAGAAAATTTGTTTGCCTGCCGGAGGAGTTTGAAAGGGTTCGTGTTCTATGAAAAATAAGCAATCGTGCACATCAACCTATATGCGGTCGACCTCCATAAACTGGCGGACGACTTTCAAAGATGGTGTCTCGAACGATCATGAACATGTTGCAGAGGTTACAAGACAACTTGGAATTTGCCTGTGTATTTCTTCCTTCCTATTACTTCTACGTAGTGAGGAATTACCTGCTGAATATGGTCTTCGACGATCGAAAGTCACTTCAAAGAGGACATGCACTACTTTTTTTCTTCGACGATCTCAGAGTTTCGTATAAAGTATAACGAGTACCTACTGGGATCAGAATGCGCGGTAGATCTACGCAAATACGGAATAAAGGATAAAGCTCCCGGCGTTGATCAATCTCTGAGGGATGTGCCATGTATTCGACTTCATTAAGCACCATCTGGAGGTGATTGAACGCATATCTGGCCTTTAAAATGAATCGCGGTGGCCTACCGTTGTAGCGAGCTAGTGCTGATATCCTCTAAGACAAGTTCGGTACCGATTTCCCCACCCTGGATGGATGGAAGGCTTCGTGGACCATGGGCGCGAGGATCGATTCCACGTGTGTGTTGCAGGGCACCTCTGACTACTGCATCACAGGGACCTTTAGAAAAAAAATAGATCTACGTAGTGAATAAATATTAGAACATCAACAAGATGAATTAACACTCGTTGACCATACCAATCAACTACGTTGGCAGTCTCTGACTTTTTTCCAATTTCCGAGACCACTGTAAAAAAAATAAATTAAATGCAAGGGTAACAAAAATACGCAAAGATTGGAAGATCTACTAATGCTCATAATGGAGCGGAGAGCACAGTGGTAGTGATGTCGTTCACTACGAGCATGGTGCTATTCGATTCGGCCCCAGGTTAATCAAACCTCTCATCCTTCCGGGGCCGGGAAATTGGTACCAGAACTTGTTCGGGAAAAAAGCACTCTGCAATCCAACTGGAAACGCTCCAGCCCGGCAATCTGAGAACTCAGGGAAAATCGATTCGACCCGCGTTCTACGACACTCAAGATGAAATGAAAATCCTCAAGCAGCAACCAAGACCACACGTAAGAGTTGGAAGGCCTTACTGGATGTTGGAAGCGAAGAAGCGAAACGAATGCGAGAAGTGATGGGATCCGCACAGCAGGCGTAAAGACAGGTCATAAAAATAAAACAAAATAAAAAATAAACCAAAACTAGTACTCGTATGTTAGAAAGAAACAGCATTTGCACACGAAAATATGGATTGATTAAAAGTATGAATTGATTCCAAAATAGAAAATAAGATTTAAAGAGGAAAAGTGAGTTGCTTATAAAAACACTACCTGTTCATATAAATAGGGGATGAGTAAAGAGAACACAACGAACTCCTCGGCACCATCTTCACTGGAGAAGAAGAAATGCAACAGAGTGCAGTCTTCAGCAAGTTTGGTGCAGATCTAGAACATAACGAAACCGTTTACCAACGTCAAACTAGTGAAATAAAAATAGGAACCTTAGTTATTTAAGCCTTGCAAACTATTAGCTACGATCATGCATTTTTTTCATGCAAGTTTTTATTGGGAACATATACAAGAAGTAAATCAAAATCAGCACAGGAGTTTACAATATTTACTACCTGGTTAAGCAAAACTACAAAGTGTTTCTCCGTAGAAGAAGGATGTCCCAATTTATTTGGTCGAAGTCCTTCTGTGCGCTCACACCTTAATCAGAACATTATGCAGAGATAGTAGACAAAATTCTAAAAACTCAACAATTATCAGACCAATCGAAAAGCCTCAGAAGTGGATTCAGAATTGGCTTATGTACAAGGAGGCAGTGATTTTGTGTATGACTTTCCGCCACAATCAACTCATAGATTCGAATAATAGCCAACTGTAATAAATGCACTTTACTTTACTAATGATCCCAACGATGTGCTAGATACGTCTAATGAGAACTACAAAAAACATACAACATAACTAGGGAAATTTACCTGACAAGAAGGTTTCAGGAAATCTGGGACCTGTATAGCCCAATCCATGACTCTATCCATAATCTCTTGCGTAAAATATCGATCAAGAATAGAACCGATAGTTGGCTCAGGCTGAGCATTAACCTCCATCATTAATAACTGACACATTCGAGTCAGTTGAACAAGAACATGAGTCATCTGAAATCGTTTAAAGTGTAAAATATGGACAAGGTTACACCGAAATTTCAAAGTTCGAGAAAGACCTTAGAAATTAATAACAAATCTGTCAATAAAATGCCTACCTCATTGTACGTGATATCACAATCTGGATTGTATGCCTTTTTATCGAGTATCTTCTCCGCAACAACCCAACATTCTTCAAATTTCCGTTCCCATTCAGTTGGATCAGATGCATACGCAACGCTCCAATTCTCCGGCAAAGACTCTGAAGTGAGAGAGATTTGAGGTACCATTGGCTAAAAACAGAATAAGAACTAACATTTGCAATAAGCTTGCCTTCTCGAGGTGAACCATTAATAGAAGACAGACATGTACTGGGTGAATGGCTTGGTGAACTCAGTCGTGAAAGCCACCGTATCATCGAGTGTCACATATAGCTCCCCTTGAACGAATGCAAATCCTAATAGAATCTAAAGTGAACTATACCAATAATATGTATAGATAGACTGAAAAACAATTCCGTAGTTCATGACAGCATGAATATTTTTAGGAGGACCTTTATTTAAAAAAACAACAAGAACAAAATCAACAACAATAACAGAAGATATCCTTAGATGAGAAGGTGAGCGAATAAAATTTTCATGAAAAATAAAAGCAAAAAACAAATGCTCCAATGTTTTACAACAGAATACATTTGCCTAACTATAACTCGAGATGTGTGGTTAGAATACCCAATTTAGCGGGATGATAGTACTTCGAAGTGGAATTCCGAATCAACACCACTCCACCGCTACTTCGAACTTCCTCGAGAGTACACAGAGGAACATACGAAAGAGCACGACCATTGGCCGCATAGAATGAAAAGTCGCCACGTATAATTCGACCAATAATAAGCCTGAAAGGGAATTTTAATTGACACGATTTACATTTCACATTCATATTCACGACTGCAAGAAACATTTTTCAGCATTCCTGTATTTATGCCTTCCTAACCGGAAAAATATCGGGTATGGAATGCTAAATAGGGACGATGACAGCACTCCTTTGATAAATTTTCACGGAATTAGCTTTTTCTGCCCATAACATACGAACTTCGCTTATTCTTTCATTTTCGACCTCTTTATTCTTACCATATTTTGCGGAGCGAGTAACGTAGTAGTTTAGTAGTGATGTCAATCATTACAAGGCCGTATTCCGACCTGGCCATGCGTTGGTTCAACACGGCGTCGTCCCAGTTCATCGAATTGCCAAAATCACACCAGACTTTGATCACCCTCTTTAGTAAACGTGAAAACACCGTAGTATGGTTACCGCAGAATTCCAGGAAGAATTTAATCGACCAGCATTCAACGACATTCATAAAGAAGACAGAATCAAGTAGCAACCTGATTCAGATGCAAAATTTTTAAACAGCTTCAAAGAAGATGGATGCGAGGAAACGAACCGAGTTTAAGAAGTGCTAATTTCTGCACAGTGTGATACATATGAGTCGGGTCATTCAATTTAGAAAAATATTGTCTTCTAAATTTTCTATCTGACGGAACACCTTCATAAAAGCCGCACAGCGTAGTAATTGAATTAAAATGAAAGGCCTGCAATTCTCACAAAGACTATGCGTGTAATAATAGCAATGAAAAAAAGTTTCCTATACACCACCTGAAGTCTGAAGTGCGCCAATTTCCACTCGTACGAATGGGGAAATTGGGCGAGTTGTAGCGATGTGATATCAACTTATACTATTTCGTCTATTTCGCGAAACAGCGGTTTCAGCTATATTTCAACTCGTCGACAGCTTACCCAACACAAACCAGTGTATTAAGCGGATCAGCGAATCAACTCTCTACATTCAATAGTATACAAAAAATTTCTCCAGAAGAGCTCGTTCGACATGTCATAGCCACTGTCTGCCGCTGCAGATATCGACGTGGGGTACTAAGATGTCATTGCATCCCGGAGCGATTAGTTTGTATAAAAAGAGAACCACAGAGACGGTTAATAACGAGTAATGCATACACTATGACTTATGCGTGACAGCGTAGATCGGTCGACATGAATTTACTAACTCATAGGGAATGTGACGAAAATTTAAGCCGTAGTTCATTACTCTAAGTGTTAACAAAGAACACTTATGTTATACCTTTTTATTTTCTGCCTAGTATAATTTCGCGGCAGGGTACTAAGCGAAATACAACCACAACGTTGCTGAGATATTTGCAAAACTCTGGACCGCAAGTGTCTATGGTGGGGAACGAACGCGCTATTATCCTTTCCGGGGAGTAACGCGTTTACCACCACACCATGCGGGTCCTTCGTTTCGCCTCTCAGCTATTTCTATCGATCTTTGCCGTAGCAATCACCCGTCAGCGGGATTGATCTGGGGCGCCCAAGAAGAACACTTAAGTAAGTTTTCCAAAAAAGTCCATTTAACATCATTCCATGATAAAACCATTTATGTGGTGCTCCATTCCTAAAACAACAACAGGTCAAGGTGATGTGCAATGCCGTACAGCAGTTTAGTGGTCTTAGCTATGAAATCGCGAGAATAAAACTCATCATTGCAGATGTAAATATCAAATAAATACTGAGTTATAAATATCAAGATAACTATGAGAAGGGCAAAATGCCCAAGACTAGAAAATATTGAACTTCAGAAAAATAAGTGGACTAACTGTAAGCAGAATTAATAAAACTGACATTGAAGAGAAACTAACAGAAATCCACTACCTTAAATGCATCACACCTACCTATTTGCCGAGTCCCGGTAGGGAGTTTTTTCCTTCTCCTCCTTTTCTGCATTCAGTTTTTTCAATCGTTCTTCTTTATCTACACGTCGCCGTTTGGCACTCTCTTTTCTCTTCCGGTTTAAAAGCTTTCGTTTTAGAGACCTTAAAAAAGGACGTTATCGCCGTAGTTGATGACGACATTTGCTGAAGTCATCTCGTTATGCAACAAAACTCTACAATCAATTTCTGGCAACATTTGGAACTCACAATATTTAACCTTTACCTACTGCCCATTACTTTTGCACGGTTAAGTGTTATGCGAAGTACAACCACAAGTATGCCAAAAAAAGTGGAAAATTCTGAAACTCAATTGGAATTCGCACCTGGGATTTGCCCTACCGTAAGTTCAGGTGCTATCCACCACATCAAACGAGGTCCTTGCTTTGTCTTCCTCAAGAGAAATGGACAGTAGAGTAATTGCGGGTTCGAAACCGAACTGAGTTTCCGTGCCCTGCTCATATCTCAGCATCTTTGTGGTTGTATTTCACTTTTAGAAATATCTCCATTCATTTCTAGGTCCTGATACAAATTACCTAATCGTGTACCAGGTCAGCTCATGTCATAAAGGATAGAAGGAAAACACTACGAAGACTAACCGATCAACAATTTTGGTATCGGGAAAAAGTTCCTTTAACGATATTGGCTTTTCATGAGCCATTTGATCAATGGGCACTACACCCTTCCAACAATTAACTTCAGCAGGAGAAGATGGCTGGAACTGATAATGGTATGCCACAGACAATCGTTAATAACATATTGAAAAAGCAGTCATAAATGGTGCCCAACCTCAATTTCACTAGGACTAGGTTCAGGATCTTCCACAGAATGTCTTGGCTCTTGAACGATGTTCACTGGACCATTTTTATATCGATTCTTGAACTAAAGGTCAATTGAAATACAAGTGTGTTGCCATTAACTGAATAATACAAAGGTTCCTAAAAATTGCCAATTCATCGCTATAGTTGCACAGCTGCTGTACCAACCAATTGTTAACCGACACAGTACGATTGTGATCCTAGCTGCTGAAATGCGCTGTGTACAGTTGGATACTCATCTCTCACAAGAACCCTACGCTACGCTACATCCCCTTTAAGAACATTGGAAAGTAATGAGGTCACACCAAAAGTGCGAGCCTAGTCGTCTACCCTCTAGTTATCCGGATCTGGTACGGTGCTCTGATGCGAAATGTGACTGTTGTATGAAAAGTACAAAACATGGCGAACAAAGCGGATCCTGTAAAATACTCATGCGTGACCGAAACCAATGAAGCCTCCCAATATTAAAAAAATCATATTCCAGCTCCTAAAAACTTTAATTGGAACCTTCTCCACTGAGCATCACAGTGGTTACAGAATGGATATTAACACTATAGAATGATTTGTGAGCGCCTCCCGATAAACGATCGAACCAGTAAACTATTTTGTCCCTTTGTATCCCATATTTTTCCGCTTTTTTCCATTAAGAGTCGTATCTCGCACAAAGAAGCAATTTAGCAAAACGAGTTTCGTGCAGGAAGACAAGACCGTGTTCCGAAGAGTATCGCTGACGTTTTCGGCGCCTTGAAAGCTTGGATGTTAAGAATTTTAAAAATAGAACTACATCCAAAGAAAACCATCTCTACCATTAAGACAATACGGTAAAGCACCCCTTTGTACAATTACATTAAGTTTAATTCCTTAATTACATTTGGTATATCGAAGAATGGGGGCACAGCAGTCCATCGCTCTGAGGTTGGCAAAAATGGTATCAAACATGTCTGGAAGGATAGCAGCACTGGCTCGACACATCGGTAGGCCAATGCGAGTCATCCTAAAGACGAGGTATGCATTCAGTCACCCCTAAAGATGTTTAACGAAGTGGAGTACATGGCTCACCCCTCAGGGATTAATCAACGTCGACAGCTTTATCGTTCATCCTTTTATCCTTTATATCGAAAAATAGGCAGTAGCTAACGAAAAGTAGGTGATGCATACTAATGTGCTGATGATGCTCGCACACATTTCTGGTCATTTCAAATAGGATTATACGAAGTGTAAGAGTATTGAGAGTATTCATAGTGACACTATGAGCTCACCTTGATCATATCTTCATGCGTAGGAAGACAAACTAGACCGTATCGCTTGGGTTTCCCACGAGCAATGCATTGTAGCTCCACAGGAACTAAAGCGCCGTAGTGAGCGGAGAGTAAATCAGCTGAAATATAAACATTACTATGAAAGGAGAAATATAGACAATATCAATTTGCTACAAATAGGGACACTCACACAGAGCTCATTTCTGTTCGAGAACAGCATTTTAAGATCATGCATTAGAAAACTAGCGAAAATTTAGCTCGGTTATAAGGTAAAACTAAATAACAGTGTTTCCAAAGTTCATTTACATTTAATAGAACCATAGCTTCCGAAAGGGGAAGACTTTGGCTAGGGTGTCCTCGGGAGTCCAGGGAACTACAGTCGCCAAACCAGTAAAATTCCGAAACAGTGGAAATTATGCTGGAACCGACACAACCAGTG